TCAGCGACGGAGCCGCTGCCTTCGAAGGGCCGCTGCGGCTGGTCAAGCGCGAGCCGAGTAAGGAGCGTTGTGTGCGCTCGCGTGCTGTTAGTAGCACGCGCGTATTCGTGTACGGTGAGTACCATATCGGAACGTCCGGCAGAGCGCAGCCGCGCCACACAGCGCAGACGGGACCCGGGCTTCGATTCGACCGGTCGCGCTGTCACTCGGTGTTCGCGGAAGGCTTCGCGGCCGACTGGGATCGGGTCGTGTCCGAGTGTGCCCGCGCAAAAGTCCGCGAGCCGTGTGGGTGATGCCTTGACTCGCTGCAACAGACACGCGGTCAGCCAGACCTCCTCGCGCCACTGCGCATCTACACTCACCCAAAAAGCCGGACGCAGACGCGACGCCAGAGACTCCTCCACGCGCCCGAACGGCCACGAGTAGTAACTTGAAATCATCGCCGCCGACTCCAAATACTGCAACGTACACGTGCCAGAAACACTCGGCCAATCCACTCTCTCCATCGCCGCCCACTCTCTATCTCGCAATACGCTCGCTACTGCCTGGTACCCTTCCGAACCAACCGCGGGCCATATGTACCCCTTCTCAGTACACCCAAGTAAAGGCGACGACGACAAAGGCGACGACGACAATGGTGACGACGACAATGGTGACGACGACAAAGGTGACTCCCGGTCCTCCTGCCACGGCTTCCGGTCCTCCTGCCACGGCTTCCGGTCCTCCTGCCACGGCTTCCGGTCCTCCTGCTCCAGGTCCATTCCCTCTCCGAGATTCATTCCCTGCCCGGAACCAGGGCCCATCGGCTCCTCCTCTTCCATCCACTGCTCTTCCTCTTCTATCCAGTCCATGCCGACCCCTGCAGCCAGACCTATCGACACACTCGGCCCCTTCGACAGCCACCGGACCGCATGCTGCTCTTCCTGGACAAGAGGCTCAGCGATCGCCCGTTCGGCCACAGCCAGCACGAGACATGTTCGTAATCCGGGCTCTCCTCGACGGCTGGCGGGTATTCTCATCACCTAAAAAAAGCGCCCGGAAAATTAACTCGGTCGAAACGATATCTACGATATCTGACGGCTATTCCCACGCATGTAACTCCGTCCAGCAAAGGGTGTTGGTAGTTACACCAAGCTGTCCGAAAAGTGTTCATCGCGTGGCGGGGTGCATGGTCGGGGTAACACGTGTGTCTTTCGCACAAGTACTCTCGCACATATTTTGTTTGACACAATAAAAAGAACACACAGCCTGGCCACTGGGGTACTGGAAGGCGCATAACTGCAGAAGACAGTTAGCGTCTTCTATCCGACCTTGAATGTTTATCAGCGTAGGCGTCTTCGGTATTCCTCCTGTCTTACCCCTCGTCCTCAGATTCTTGCCGAATGCTTCTTTTAAGGCACCATTGGCGACTGATGGATCCGCGTCCTGGAGATGGGTAGGTTCTCCAGGACGCGCCCGCATCGAGCGCGCGGAAGTCTTGCTTGCTTCTTGGACCCTTCTGGTGAGGGGTATATCCGCAGGCAGGGCGCCGCCAATAGTACATCGGCGACACCCTTGCGGCTAGTCCCCATTCATCAACTAGGCCAGGAGGTCACCTTAACCGAGTTATAGTCATTAAAGTGTAGGTTCACGTGTAGACTTGCGAATGTCTTCTTTAAAAAACCGAACAGACTTCGCTGCACACCGTTTTGTCTGCTTTTTGCCTCCTTGAGGGCTGGCCCTTTGAGGGCTGGCTTCTTGCGGGCTGGTAGATCACAAGAACGAGGCGGCCTATAGCAGTCACGAATTTGACGCGTTGGACCGGGGCAGCCTCGCGAGGCGGTTGCACCAAAAAAAGTACGATGAGTATGTGGCGTGCCCTGAATGAGACTTTGGACGCCTCTGAGGGGTGTTCATGATCCACCAAGCATCACGTAGTTCGGAGCATCATCCAGTCACGCCCGAATATTCCGAGGTGTGTGTGCCCCGCAACAGGCCGTTGGCTGACCCACTCCCAGACGGACGAGGCCCTACAGCCCAAAGGCGTAGTTTCGGAATGCCTTCAAAGCCTTGTGAGTCATCTGCGGTTGTAATAGAAGTGGGTTGGTGACGAGTGGGTGGTTGCGCAAAAAAGATGACCAAGTAGGTGGGGCGGACGACACCAGTGATCACGCAAGTGGGGCGACGGTAAGCGGGCAAGTGGGGCGACCGTAACCGGGCAAGTGGGCCTCGCTACCTGCCTATGTTGATAGAAATGTGTACATGACCATAGGTTGCACACCACCAAAAAAAAACTTTACTACCTAGGCCAGTATAGTTGCACACGACCCGTTATGAATCTCCATCAGCGTTGGCGTCTTCGGTATTCCTCCTGCCTTCCCGCCGACTTCGCTTCTTCTAGCTTCTTGCCGAATGCTTCCTTCTTTTGCTAAATGCTTTCTTGAAAGAAGCATCCAGGGTCGCATTGGCGACTCACAAGCTATCGTCCAGTGGATGCTCACGATCCGTCCAATCAAGCGCCCTTGCGGGAAGCCTCACTTGCTTCTTGGGCCTTTCGGGCTCGTTTCCAAGACTGGACCGTCAGAGCAACGCCAGCACTTCACACCCCATACCTTGACCAATTTTAGACCCACGAAGTAGTTCTTCTTGGCATCTTCAAGTTAAAAAAAAATGACTGGCAGCGCATACGGGGCGGGTGTGCGAGCAATCCTCCGGTCGCTTCTTGTCCCGCTCTCCAGCGCAAAATTGCTCTACACCCACCCACTTCTTCCACCCGACTAACCCTTTTGCCTTCTACCCAACTGCTCGTACTGCGTCAACCATGGGTCAGTCAATAAAAGGGTAAACTCAAGCCAGCCCCACCTTAGACTCCGCCTATTCGGTGGTTTTCTGTAACAACATTTCTGACCCTTGGTGCGGCGAGGCCGGCAATGTATCCATAAGCATACCTCGAAGTCGTTCGGCCGCGAGTGCTGGCGCAACGTGTTCCGTGCTGACGTGTTGGGGCGAGTCGCTGCAGTGCTGCGGCTCATAACAAGGCAGCGCCTCCTGCAGCTCCGGCCAGGACCAGGAAGCGAGAGCGAATTCCCCGAGGGCTGCGACGTCGATCTCCATAAAACGCAGCGCGCTCGCGGCGATTCGCAACTCGCAGCGCATCGCGTGTCGGCGCGCCCGCGCCGTGTGTGAGTCCGTCGTGCGTGAGTCCGTCCGCGACGGGCGAATGTGCGCGAGAAACTGGCCGACGAGCGCGACCTTGTCGTCCGCGATCAGGTTGCGGCCGTCCGCACAGTCCGTGACCAGCAGCCGCGCGAGCACGGGCAACGCGGCGCACTGCGCCGCCGAGAGATGCCCGTCGCCGGCGGCCTTAGCCATATTCTGCAAGACAGCGGCGAGTTCCTCGCGCTCGCAGGGCAGCGCGGCCGCCCATTCGAGCGCCGTCACCTCCGTGGCGGCGGCGGCCGCCCATGCCCCAGGCGCGCCTGCCCCTGTGGGCGAGAACGAGTCCTCCGCCGGGAAGTTAGCACTGCCGGAAAGCGTGACGGTCCCGCCAGACATTGTGGCGCTGCTGGACCTTGTGGTGCTGCAGGACATTGTGGTGCTGCAGGACATTGTGGTGCTGCAGGACATTGTGGTGCTGCAGGACATTGTGATGCTTCCTGAGGACGTGCCGCCTGCGGTGGGGGACGTCCAGAGCGCCTGGGCGACGGACTGTGGGACAGTATGCGGGACGATTTTGGTGGGTCGTGCGTCAGAGGGTGTGTCGGCGGGTCGTTTGCAGGGTGCGGGGTGGTGAAAGCCACAGCGCCCATTTCCGCCTGAGGCTATGCGTCGTAGGAAGTCATTGAGAGTATGTCGTGGGGCGGCTTGACTTAGTTTGGCAAGGTGTTCTCGGAGTGGTCGGTGAGTGTTGCGTCTTCCATTATAGATTTTGCAGTCTTGTGGACTTAGACGGCAGCACACCCAGAGGTTGCGTGTGCTGGCTTTGTAGCCAAGTACGTCTTCGCAAAATTTGGTGAGTGTGTCTTCGTTGACGCCAGATTGGGCGAGTAGACAGCCGGTGACCCAGACGTCAGCGAGTCGCTCTGCCGCAAAGAAACGGTTCCGTGCTGAGAGACGGCTGCCGTTGACCCGAGCGTCGACGGCGTCTGTGAAGGCGTTAACAAGCGGCTCACGTCGTGCCGGTTCGACACTACCGAAAGGCAGCCAGAAATAAAGTCCAATGATGGCTGCTAGTTCGAGCCATACAGAGTCGCAGCAGTCCAACGACAACTGTTCGGTTCTTCGCATTCGGGCTCGCTGTACGGGCGCGAACACTTGGTACAAAGCGCGAGCCGCCAAGGCCTCATCACCTTCAAAAAGGGGCGGCTCCAAGGATCTAGCGAATAGAGACAACAACGGCTCCCCTGGTGCTAGTCCGTGTGCACGTCGCGCGAAACGAGCAGCACTCAACCTCCACGGTGCGCCCAGTCGGCGGCGTTTCTGCGTCGCACGTTCATCGAGCCAACCATAAGATTCCGCTTGAACATCACTCCCCCGCCAGACGGCCTCCAACTCCCCCGCTCGGGCACCCAATGATTCCAACTGACAAGCTGTAGCAAACGTAGCCAATCTACGAGCCGGGTCTTCAGCCACCCAAAAAATTTCGCGCAATCGACCCTCTTCACTCACAGACAAACTCACCAATGGCCTTGCACACACACTTGTCAACTCACTCGCAAACCGCAAAACGCTCGGTGAACAATTCAAATCAGTCACTTGCAATTCTCGAAGCCTCTTCTTCTCAGCCTCATCCAACATACTCCGTAAAATAACACACGCCTCCGAACCAAACGAGCCACCCTCTGACGACCACGATCTTTCGTCTGCCCACAACTCTTCTTCAGCCCCCAAATCCTCCGCCCACCACATCGCTTCCGACGACGGAAGTTCACAATGACCTACACCCACGCCTTCCGAACCCACCGAGTCTTCCGCCATCGACACACTCTCTCCAGCCCCCCACAAGCCCTCCCCAGTACATACGTCCTCCGCAGTCATGCTCTTCATCGCTGCCGACAAGTCCTCCGTGGTCACCGATTCAGCCCTCAGACCCTCCCTGCCCTGGGGTCCCCTCCTCACACCTTCCGTCCTCAACAGGGGTTGCGTCCTCAACAAGGGTTGCGTCCTCAACAAGGGTTCCGTCCTCAACAGGGGTTCCGTCCTCAACGGAGGTTGCGTCCTCAACGGGGGTTCCGTCCTCAACGGGGGTTCCGTCCTCAACGGGGGTTCCGTCGTCAATGACCCCTCTATGAGGCCTTGCGTCTTCAGGGATTTTGCCTTCTGGAGTTCCCTATTCAGGAGCTCCCTGGTCTGGAGTTCTCTCCTCAGAAGTTCCAGAGCGGGTCGTCGTTCCGTTGGGGCAGGTTCGTTGGTGGGTCGGTCCTTGGTGGTGTCCTGCCTAGTTTTGGCCCCAGACGATCGCAGGTCTAGCGGGGCTGCATTCAAGTCGGCTACGGCCAAGACGACGCACGTACGGAGCCCGGCACCCGCCCGCGCGCTTGCCGTCATCCTCATTTTAAAAAGCGTGGGACCTTCCAGAAAAAGGCGCCCAAGACAGTCCCGTCGATGTCCTGTCCAGTCCCGTCGATGTCACTGTCCAGTCCCGTCGACGTCCTGTCCAGTCCCGTCGATGTCATGTCGATGTCAACAAGAGGGCAAGAGGCGAGTGGTGCGGAGTGCGTGGAGCAGTGAGTCCGGGTGGGGGTCTGCAGGGAGGAGCCCGGCAGGGAAGGCCCGTAACAAATCAGACCAGTTCCAGCTGGCCAGAGCGAAGGCAAGAAGTTGGACGGGTTCGACGCCGAGGTCGGCAAACAACTTAGCAGCGACTTGCAGCTGGCGTCTGACAGCACGGCCAGGTGTCCGCGGCGTTCTCACTTCGCTCTTCGGGTCGTGGAAGAGAAGGCTCTGAGTTGGGTTAGACTGCGTACAAAGCGTGTTCAAACACGCCGTCAACTTATCATCTGAAACCATCCAACCTGCGGGCACACGCAACAACCATCCCAACACATAGAGCACCTCCCGGTGCGCCACATTCAACCCTCTCTCCGGACTCACACACAACCAATCTAGCACCGTCACCAACTCCTCGCGTTCTCGAGGCAAGTTGGCCATCCAGTCGTCCCCCGGACCCCTAGCAGCGAGGTACCGCGCCACTACTGACATCGGCTCATTACACTCCATCTCCGCGTCACCAGACTCCATCTCCGCGTCACCAGACTCCATCTCCGCGTCACCAGACTCCACCTCCGCCTCGGTACCCTTGGATGAACCACATCCTGACTCGGGCACTTTTTCGAGCAGCTCATCATCCGGCTCCATGGACTCAGTCTCCATTCCCATAAACTGCGCCGTCGCCGTTAGCTTCTGGGCCGTCAGCTCTTCGGGCGCTACTAGCGTGGACGGTTGGTTGTGTCCAACTTCTTTCTTACCTTCGGTGGTCGTCTTGACTCTTCTAACCTTAGCGGGCGTTTTAACTCCAACAAACGTCTTCACCCCGGTGAGGCTTCTAACTCCGTCGCGGATGTGTTCCATGAAGGTCCTGAGACTGAGGGGGGGGGCTTGGAAGTGATCTTGGGAAAGGTATTCGTTGATGGAAATCATAGTCGTCCGGGCTTGGTTGTAGACTCGAGGGCGTACTCTAGTAGTGCGTGCGTAGAGGGGGCCTTGGCGAGCGCGAAATCGGTAAGGCAATGCCAGTTCTACGAAGGTCTTGAGTTTTTCCAAGTCGATACCGGAGCGTTGGAGGAGACAGCCAGTGACCCAAAGGTCGGCAAAGTGTTCGAGTGGGTAGCGGCGGCCGTCAATTACCCCCGCAGCCCTGCCGCCCCAGGGGTGGGCCAGGCTGCGCACTTCGCTGTCTAAAGTGGCCTGCAGCCGGTCGGACAGGGTGCCGAAGGGCTGGTTAAAGAACAGACTTATTACGGCGCCTAATTCAATGTAGCGGCGGTCGCATAGTTCCAGGTGGGCCGGATTGACATTCCGGAGTTTCGAACGCTCATCCTCGGTAAACAAAGTGCGCAGCGCCTCCGACGCCATCTCCTCGGATCCCTCGAACACGTTATAAAACGAGGCAAACTCGGTAAAGAAACCGCCCACCGGCCGCAGGTTCGTACGCCGCGCGTAGGCCGCAGCGGTCAGCGTGTCCAGCGCAGCCAAACTCCTCACAAGCCCCTCCATCCGCTGGCTGTCGGGCCCTCGCACACGTGTGTGCTCCACGTCCGCGGCATTTGTCGCGTCGCAAAAGGCCTCAAAACTGTTCGCCGGCGGGCAATAAAGGAGAGTGGAGACACAGAAGACCACTAGCGCCTTGCGCCAGTTCGAGAAACTCGACAACTGACAACCTGTGGCGAAAACGGCTAGTCTCCGCTCCGGGTCGTCAGCCACCCACAACAGCCGTCGTAATCGCGACTCCTCCGCCTCTGAGAGGCGTCCCAGTGGCCAGCGCCCGAAGCCATCTGTCACCGCCGCCAACTCTAACCACGGTCCCGAGCAACGTTCCAAAACCAACGCCTGCTTCTGCGCCCGCTCCACCGCATTCGGTCCTAACAAATGCCAAATCCGGTGCGGAGTACTCCCGCCTGGACCCAGCCGTTCTCCCATTGCCCCCGCTCCAGCGGCTTGCACTCCGGCGACTCGCCCCGCTTCGACCCGCTCGTCTTCGATTCTGGCATCGACCCGCTCTTCGCCCGCCCGCTCTTCCGCAACCGCCCCGTGTTCCGGCGTCCGAATCCCGTCGCCTACCGCCAACACGACAACACACGCTCGCACGCGCTGGCCACTCCGTCCACTTGTCAACACCCGCATGATTATAAAATTGCCAGCACTGCATTTTCCCTCCTTGCACCCTGTCGTAGCGGTTCAGAACCTAAGTCCTTCGGAACCTAATCCCGTCTGTCCGATCCACTAAGTGGATCGACTAAGTGGATCGACTAAGTGGATCGACTAGGTGGATCGACTAAGTGGATCGACTAAGTGGATCCAATAAGTCCTTCAGACCCAAGTCCGGGCAAAAATGTGTTTTCCAGTCTGAGAGCGACGAGTAGGTCGTTAGGTCGGAAGGTTTCAGTGAAGTGGCCTTTGAGAACTCGGTCATAGCGAGGGTCATAATGGTGCAAAGGGAGGAGGTTGAAGACACGTACGCAGCCGTCACACGCGTACCAGCGAGCGCGTCGGTAGGAGGTATTTGGCAGTTCGCTTGCGTCTACGTGCCGCATGTGTTGGCGATCATAGACGATGTCGGACACCGGTTCCTTCGGCGCTCGCCCCACTCGGCCACCCCTTATTTCCGGCATTGAAGCACTGCAACTTGCGCCCGCTTCCCGAAGCTGACCAACAGTCATGACCTCGCACAGAAAGCTTATGTTCGGAACAACACCAGCAGTCGTAAGGAACCGATTGCTTTTCCACATATTTCTCAACGTCTTCACTCGTAACAATGCTACCTTCTCAGTATCTGGAAACTTGCCAAAATCATAGTCACACAACACCTTCTGCACTGCCAATAACCAGCCACACACACTTTCAGAGCCACCCACACACGTCCTCATCATTAACCAAACTACGTTCTTAATTCAACTGCTTCACAAAAATATATTTCTCGTAAATACACCTTTCATAATCCAATCGCAAAACGACTCCTTCATACA